CAGCTGATGGAATAATTTACATTATTTATATGAAAGAGGAAACAAAATCAAGGGGAAGCAGGAAAAAGTGCTGTGTTTGTTTATCAGCGATGTGTAGGCGTGCTCTGAGATCCAGGTCACCAGTGTATGCCTGGAAAGGAATACAGCAGGAGACATTAAGTTTTTTTAAATGCATTGGTAAGGTTTTGATGTCTAAAATGAAGGAAGTAGCTAGGGGACCCTTTTCTTTGTAAACAAAGAAGGGAAAGACTCTGAGGATGTCCAGACAGGATAATGTTGGTCAGAGCAATCTAAGATATGTTATTATGTACAGTTCCTGTGACGAGAATGAGAAATAACATCAAAATAGCAGTACATTTAAAAAAAAAAAAAAAAAAGCATATCTAAGTGCAAACTTAGCACACTGTGGAGGAAAGGTTGATAGTGTAGTATGAGAACAACCTCAAACAGGGGAATCACATCCATAGGAAGTAGAAACTGTATCAGGTTGCTAAGGTCAAAGACAGAAGTGTAGCACAGGCACTTAAGGACATAATGAGAAAGAGCAAGGCATAAAATAAAATGCAGCTAACAAGAGAAATCAGAAGTAATAAGGAATGTTTTTATGAGGCTAGTTTTCAGCAATTCATCGTCAGAATGGAAAGGCCTATTGATTAGTCATCCTGGTTCCTGTACTTTTCAGTACCCTATTAGCAATTTAGATAATAGATTTTTCAAATTTCTTCCAACTCCACAATCCAGTGTAGTGATTTATGAGTGGGCATACTCTTACCCAGATACATGAAGTTTTGAAATGTTCCCACTTCACATCTACTTCCAGGTTTTCAAAGCTGTTGATTTTACTTTTAAGAAAGGACTATATGCAGTATTGAGGTCTGCACTGAAGAGGAAAAAAAAGAAAGAAAAGACACTGAAAGTATAAGAGCAATTGAGTCCATGACCACTAGGTTTTCTTTTATAATATATAGTAGAAGCGTCATAAACAAATCAAGCAACCAGATCTGTCTGAGCTCTGAAAGAACGGGCCTTAGTATGACCAGATTATATTTTTGTGATTTCTGATAGCAAGCCTGAATGCTATCCAACAGGCAGCTGGAAGTGCCTTAAAGTCCAGGAGAGGATTAAATAGCCTTCATCCTAAAAATGAAAGGCAGCACCTTCAGCTTAATCTAGTGTTTGAAGTCTTGCTTCTCCCAGAAAAATGCTTAATGAAAAAAACTGGTAGGCAGATGGACTGACTGAGGTGTGAAAATTGAATTAGAATTGAGATTAGAATTAAAATTTAGATGTGGACTTCAGTAATCCTATAAATTACGGGCTTTGTGAGACTGGCTGCAGGGAGCTGCCTTTCTTGTGCTCTCCTACTTGATATACTGGCTACAAGAAAGATAATTTGTACTGAAAATAAGGGGATCACCTACCTCAGCCAGTAATGCACTGACTTTCAGAAAAAAAAACAAAACCTTGTCTCGATGAAGGAATGCATAATGTTCTTTTATTACACAGAATGCAAGAACATTTAATGCCGAAGCAGAGGATATCTGGGGAGAATGCTGCAGTGTATATCCTGGTAGGCCTGGCAGAGTCTGACTTAGATATAGGGAAGAAAATAGTCTAAGTTCCAGTGTCTAATGGAAAGATTCACTGCAGAAGCCCACAGAATATAGATTTCATTTAGCACTGTAAGTGGTTCTGCAATAATGTGCCGTGTTCAGATTTAAGGAGTTTGCCAAGGAGGCATGTGAGCTATCAGGTACAATGACACTGAATAGCCCAGAGCTGTGACTTGAGAAAACAAAGTCTGCAAGGGGGGGATGACAGATTTGTCAAGACAGATGCAAAACTGTTGAGTCCATGTCAGCATTTTAATGCTGTACTTGATATTTAAGCCTAAACAAGCAACTCTTTGTTAGTTCATACAACAATTTAAATATTCCAGTGTGCTTCTATGAGCTACTCTATATCACCGCAGGGAGCTAACTTCCATGGAATAATAATTCTTTTTTAATTCAGCCCTAACCAAAGAGAATGTCTTGTCAAAAGGATCAGTGACAATTTTGCAAGCACTGGTAAGGATTTTCTCCAGCAGTTTTCCTAATTGCTGCAATCCAGAAAAACTAAGGACATAGGAGAAAGTATGAATTCCCAAATGACATCGTAGACGTGGTAGACTCTGTTGCATACATTTTTTTCTTTTTGAAGAAGAAATAACAGTACAATAAGATGAAATAAAGATGTGAGTCTGAATTTAGACTCACAAGGGATGTAATTATTCAGTGTAAAGAAGATACAGATAGATATATAGATATGCATATATACACAGTTGAATTTCAACTTACTAATGACTAATTTTCTGGAAGAAAAGGACAACTAATAAGGAGACGATTAAAAAATTTTCTGTTCTGAGAACAATTTTTTAATACCTTTATTTGTAATACCAGTTTCCAATAAAGCTAGTTCTTCCTTTGGATGGTAGCTTGATAGCCATAAGAAATCTCAGTGTAACTGAGAGCCAAACAGACTCAGAAGACTTTAAAGTTCAGGTCTGTGTGCATACTGTACACCACACCCTAAATTCTACTGCAGAAACATCATGTTGGCTGTGCGATTAGATTAAAAATACGTGACCCAGCCCATAGAAAAGACACTCCAGACCTAAAAGCAATGGGCATTCATTTAGAGCATCATGGCAAGGTTTGCAAGCTGAGCCATGGCATTATTCTGATTTAGCATTGTTGCTTTGCATTCTTAAATAAGGACACTCTCTACTGCTTTTGGTGACACTGCACCATTTACAGATGCACAATATCATCATGCCCAGTGTCACAGGAGGCTTTTATCAATAGTTTATGAATTATACAGATTTTTTTTCTAGTGTAAACATGTTTAGTTAAAGACTGTTTCCATCTATTCACCTTTTCTGTGTCTCTCAGGTCCAGGAGACTTTTAGGAAGTGTAGTCAGGGGCTAAACTTATGAATTGCATCCTGAATTCCCTAATATTCAGCATTATCAGTGGAGCCACTGTAAGCTAGCAGGGCAGACTGAAATTCAGTCTTCTGAGGTTTCAAAGATGCATATTCATCATATCTATTCTATTGTTTTCCTGTGAGTCACCAGGTTTCCTTCAGCTAAGAAATATCTATGCCAAAGAAGAAAATCAGAAAATGCTATTCGTTTCTTCCCCTTACCCTTTTGACCTCACTCTACAAACTATATATCCATGTGTACTTCTTGTTTGCAAAGATAAAAATGAACACTTTGAAAGAAGTTCTTTGGTGTAGTACTCTACTGTAATAGGGGGGAGCTTAATACATCTAGAGCCCTGCTTGTGTGATTTCTTCTGCACACATTCTCTGCACAGGAGAAACAGAGAACGTATCAGAAGACCTTTTTTTTTTCCCCAACTGTACAGTTACATTTGGCACATGCAGGCCTAAATCTTTTGAAAATAAACATTCTGAAGAGCTCTAACTAGGGGCTTTTAATAGGCATCCTGTTTCTGTGAAGTATAGAACAACCAGATAAGTGATGGGGAAGTTAAAGCCGAACAGAGGATTCTCTCACTGATGTGCACGTTATACGGGCATAGAAGACAGAGATTAATACTTCATTGTTGGAGGCAGGTATAGCTTTGTGGAGATTCAGGCATGTTCTTAAAGCAGCAAAGCAAAGCAGGCCAGGGAGGCACCTGATGCACGCTCTGATGGCTGGACTGTCTTAAGGCTGGTATTCATGAGATGGCTGTGTACAGGAGTGGCAGGGAAGGAGGCATTCTCAATTCCCCAGAAAAAAACCTGCTATTTCTTCAATTTTCTTCCTTTTTCACAAAGTGAGAACTCTGTCCCTGAGACAGTGGCTGTGGATGCCAGGAGGAAGCAGGATACTAAGAACAACCTTCTTGAGAACCTGGCACAAACTCACAGGAATCAGTTTCTGTGCCATGCAGAAGGGTATAGCTGCTCATCAGTTCTGCCTCTTGAATTCACTGTCCACTAATCTGCTTGTAACTAGTCTTGCAGACTGGACAATGTATGGACCATGCTGGTTCCCTACCTGCTTTGGGGTCGGTGTATTCAAACCCCCAGAGTTAGTATGTTGTGAATCAAAATTCCTGAATAATTACTGAGGGTTCCGTCATGCCTTTGCAGGATGGTTTCATATTACACTTACATGGGAATCAAGGTCCTCCTGGGTTCCCTGAAAAAAACTGTCACCTTTTGAAATTCCAGTTGTTTCTGAAAATCAGCAATTAACAAGTGTGTGTTGTATATTCTAAGACAACAGAACTGTCTGTAGCTGTGTTACAAGTTTGCTCTTAACGGCTATGGGTGGGCAGAAGTTTGTACCTCTTCTGCTTAAAGAAATACGTTGACAACATTTTAGAGAACTGATTGTTCTGACATTCCTGAGGCTAATTTGGAATAGCACTCTGTGAATGTAACACCTTGCTAGAGGAACAAAAACGCTTTGGCACATTTGAGCACTGAGGTCGAACTGCTAACATGCTTTCCAGTCCTGTTCCTGGTTTTCCAGCGTAATGTGGCTTTTGGTACCAACCACTAGGATACAGGAACTGTTTGTAATGATCCATCCAGAGATGGCTCATCACTCTGTGCACCCCTGAGCTATTCAGTAACGTCCTGTAGACTTTCAGTTTTTCTGTTACTGATCTTTCTCATTACCTACGAGTGCTGCAGAGTTGGGAGCAGAGTTGGGAACTGTCTGAACATCCTAGCGCAGTGCTAAGTGAAAGATCAATTAGCTTCAATCCTTGCTGTGCAAACTTGGATATCACTTCATGGCAGAACCTTGTGTCCTTTATACGTGCCCGGATATACACACTCCCTTTGCCTATAGTACATATACCACTACATAGTTGCAAATGCAACTGTCTCTACTGTTCTCTTAGTAGAATGTTGAATATTATATTGAGAGCAGAGTGTGAAGGCAGGAGATGATGTCACCAAAACAAATGTTCTCCTTTATTTTTCTTTCTAGATTAATCCAGCAGATAATTTCACCAATTGTGAGGAGGAAGCAGAAGATGATGACACCTACGTGCTTATGTTAGGCTCAGAAACTCAACCAGCCATGAGTAAGTCATGTTGTTAGCTTTATTGGTAACAAAGCATGTGCTGTATTGAGTGAGTGGGATTATGGACAAACAGAGGGGGCAAATAATTTTAATACTTCAATTTTCATGCCTTTCTGCAACTTCCAGGGAGGTGAGACGTCTTAGTAGATGAGGGAAGGCAGGTGAGGGATTCAGTTGTGGTAACAAAGTCTTCACTAGGTAAGACAGACCTCAGTGCAATCACCCCCCCTGGTAAATTCTGAAAATTTGTGACCTCTGCTCTGAATCTGGAAAACCACTGAATTCTCCAAGTTCTCAGAGAGCAGCCTTCACGTAAGGGGAGACGCTGCGTAGAGGTGCGGCCAACTCCTGTGTGGAGGCACAGCTAGTAGACATTTTGCAGCTTGATGTTCATACATCTAAGTATAGATTGATGACAAGCTTGTTGATAATCTGTGTGGACATATGCGTTCCCCTCGAAAACTGCAAACTAGGTTGCTTATTTGCATTTACTGATGGCATATATTTTGTATATGTTTTACAGTATCATGGATCTGTAAAGCTAAACTTTATTTTGTTTCTGTCTTATCTATTTGTTGATGATTTTATCTTTTCAACTGTCTCATATTCTGTATGAAAAGGATGTTTCTTATTTGCTAAGTTTAAACCAGTTGCTTTAGCACATCTAGGTAGGGGATAGACACTGTGAAAATGTGAGCTAGAAACCTGGTTAGCCCTGACACATTTTCACTGTCTCTGTCACGCTGTATATGGGAACACCTCAGGGTGGACACATGGAAGAAGAACACAGATTGCCACAGCTGGCTGTGTTAGCCAGCTAAATGCCCTAACCTCCCGTTTGAATCAGTGGTGAAAGGCCCCCATCACCAAAGGATAACTCAGAATGGAAACCTACCTCAAGGGCTTGGTATTAACTGTATGTCTGCTGATGGACTTGTATAGTTTACTCTTATGTTACTGAGGGTGACCACCCAAATCTTGATGCTGTACATAGTGATTAAAAATGTATGCTTTCACATCCCTCCACTATATTCCTGTTCTGTGAGCCGTGGGCCACTAAAGACAGAAGAGCTCTATTTCCACAAGAGCACAGCCACGTCTGCCATGGGCAATGTTTATTTCATTTTAGAGAGTTGTAAATAAGCACCCAGACCCCATTGTATTAAAACAAGTTATAGAGGTGTGTGGGCTGTGCCTTTATTTTACTAAGTATTGCACGGTACTGTGTTGAAAGTCAAGCAATACCAATTTTGGAGGCGAGGTAAGTGTGTGTGATTTCATTCTGACAGCAACTCTAGAAGAGTTTAACACTGCATACAGGAAGATGGTGTGTATCAGAGTAGCAAGGTACAAGAAAAACTTCCACTTTTGATCTGGTAAATATTTAAAAAGCTGTTCACTCACAGTATGTATTTGACAGCTTTCCTACCGTATCAGTTCATAAAAGTTTTATTAGCCATTGTGTTGCTTCTGTGGGAATCCTTGAAACAGGAAATGTTTCCAGATGGCAAATTTTAAATGAAATAATGCATTCTTTAGCATTAAAAACCAAGCAGAACCCAGGAGATCAATATGGAATTGGATCAAGATGCCAACAAGAAGCTGAGGTGGATGATGATGAGAAAGATGATGTGGAAGACAGCAGAGAGGAGACAGAACGGGAAGATCAAGAAGAGGATTCATACAGCTTTCACAGCAGTCCTGACAATTTGTATGCCAGCGTACCTGATGATATTGAAGAGAACAGATGTTACTTTTTCTGTAAGAGGCCACCACCTCCTCCCCCTCGAAATCTGCCTGGCATCCTAAGACAGGACAATCTACACAGTTTATCACAAGGTATGATCTTGGGAGGAAAATAACCCTAGGTACAAATGTGTGCAAGTGCAGACTAGGTGCTGCTGTAGAGATTATGGATGATCACTTCTTCTACCAGCAGCAGCTAGACAGTACAGCCCTAATTCTGCAAAGCAAGAATGTGCGTATGAACTTTGCTGCATTGAGATATTCATAACCAGGTATGTCAGCTAATACTGTGTTATGGGCTGCTGGCTGCAGGTTTCCTCACTCTGCCCATCTCAGAGAGCTGACAAATCATACGTGATGCGTTGGATTTACGAGAGGCTTGAAGCAGAAGATTGAGCCCGTATTTTTGTCAAATTGACTTAAGTACTGTTTAAAAGTATTAAATACTATCTTGATTTAATACAGCTTGTAATTTCACAGGTAGAGTTAATAGAACGTGACTATGCAAAGAGAAGTGACACAGTATTTTATTACATTTTAGACAATGTTGTAGTTAGAAAGAAAAAACTATATTGTGTTACAGATTGGAAGGAGAGAAATTGTGACCTTTAATGAAATGCTTTGCCTTTTTTTTTTTGCCTTTTTTTTTTTTTAATACTTCTGCCCTAGAGTAAAAATCAAAAATTTAGTGTAGTTTGATTCAAGTGATGAGAAGCCCAAAAAACTATTTGCATCTATTGTAGAAGAGATGATTATCATTTTTTTTAATTGGGAAAAATAAGTATGCAAAAGAATTCACACCAGTCTTAAGTAGTCACACAGGGGAAAAAAACCCTTTCTTATTTGTCATGGACACTACTGAGAAGTGTGCACACAAATTGCCTCTCAGTTTTTCCACTGCTTACTACAGTTAAATCTGGTTTTAAATGTGGCATAACCTAATAGAATCTTAAATTACCATCACCAAGCACTTTGAAGTTCACGTAAGTAGATGGAAATAGCTTTCTAGCCTTATAGCCTGCTATAGGTAGGTTTTCATCTGGTTTGCTGCTCTGAAAGAAAAAGCCAGCTGTATGCAGGAAGTCGTATGCGGATTCTAACAGAAAGAGGGGCAGAATAAAATTAACGTTAGAGATGTGTTTTGCTTCCCACAGAATACTCAACTGCAGCTATATGTGTGCATGAATGAGGGGTCAGGTTTGGCAACAGGATTTTTTAGTGCAGGTTCGATATAAATGCCTGTCTTGGAGTAGCTCTCACGTGGCTATACCGCCAAGCAGTAACGTGACCCTCCCTGCCGAAGGCCGGTTGTCTGTCGGTGGGTACCAGCAGAGAAAGCTGCTCGGCTACGTAGTGTCCTGTGCCGAATGCTGTGCTGGTAGGGCAGGGTTTGTCTAACGACGCTCCAGTGTGAATAGTTCATTGAAAACCTGCTATGAATTTTCCTGACGCGTTAGCCTTGGTTTCGTCATGGAGGAATGTGGAGGGAGTATCAGAATTTCTCTGGATGAGGATGATGCTTGCTTCCGAAGAGGAGCTCTAATGAGTCATTGCTACGTATTTTTAGTCAGCCACTTGCTTTAGGTGTTGCGGTGGAATGCCTAAAAGGCAAGTCTCCTCTTCTTGAAGTCTTTGTTTTGGCAGTGGCATGAGAGTGCCACCTGTGGGAGTTAAAAGAAAGAATATCCTACAGAGAAAGAAACAGAACTTTTATAGTGACATGGAAACAAAATACTTTTCATACTGAATATGGCAGGCGTATTAATACCACTTGTTGTTTTAAAACATTTTTATATCTTAGCCAGAATAGATATTGATAGTATGTATTAATAATACATCCGATTTATAAATGTATCCCACTTACAAAGATTGTTTAGCTTCTTGGAACCCATAAACAGATAAAACAATTCTTTAAATAGCAGCCAAAGGATTGAAAAGGCCAGTAGTGACCTCAGCCCAGTTCAGCAGATACACATGTACAGGCAGCAGGAGTACAAGAAGTCCAGACAGATCTACTGTTTTTGCAGGAGAGACGGGTAATCAGCACGAGGAAGTTACAAACATTTATGGGAAGACCAGTGTCAGTAGCAGTTTGTGGGGTTTTTAAAGACAAATCAAAACAAACTGAGGTATCAGGAAACTCATCAATTCCTTTTAATTCTATAAAATCTAAAAGCTAATGGAAAGCAAGTTCCAATGAAAAATATGAAATTTAGGGAGTACAGAGAGTCGGGGAAATTGGAGGGGGCGGGGGGGGGACTGTGTGTTTGAAAGTCTTAGCATAGATTGTAAGAGATCATAAATTTCAACTATGCTGTAAAGGGCTTTTTACATTTTGTTTCACCTTGTCCTAAGTACATCTTAGTAAAGCCCTCAAAACTGAGTGGGACGTTGAAGATGTAGGAAAACAAAATCTAACATTTTCTAAAATAAGTTTCAATTCTTAAGTCATTGTTGCAGAAGCTAACAATAGCCTAACTTTCCAAAATGCCAAGAGCCACAGGTACCACCTACTTAGCTTCAACCGTTACAGAACATGTTTGTTGTCACTCTTGTGGGAGCAACTGGGGCATTCTGTTTCTTTTAAATAAAGCCTATTTATTGTGGAGCTGATAGCTAAGCCTCTGTTTTTGATAATCTGATGTGAAATAGTGAGAAAGCCCTGAAGTTGGAATTACTACTCTGGGACATCCACTCTACTGATTTAATGAGCAGAAGCCTCTGAAAATCAGAGCACTTTAGTTTAGAAGTGAAATTAGGTCTCCAAGTTACTTTGGAGAACTCTAAAGCTTTAAGTTAAATCCCAGTCTCCTTTCTTTACCCTATACATGGAACACAATTCCTCGCTTTTTCAGAGAGGAGTTTTGTGGAGGACAGACATGAAAGAGAGCATGGTGATGGGCTCCTAACAGCATGCTACAGAGAAGAGCAAGATACATGGAAGGGAGATGGCGAGGAGGAACACCCGTACACTTTTGCGAAACTGGATGAATCTGTGTATGAGCTCATACTGGCGGAGGAGGAGGAGGAGAAAAGGGAAGAACGCAGGTCTTTTATCCTGAACAGGCCGCCAGCCCCTGCCCCTCGCCCCATGTGTTCGCCGGTCAGAGAGGAGAACACTCCCTATATAGTCCAAGGTTAGTGCTGCTGCTTTGTAAATATTTGCTGGTAGAATATAGAAGTGTCTTTTCTATTTGATGAGTAACATTTTTTAAAAGACTAAGATCCTTGATCAGCTACTTTCAAACCGACAACCTGGTTGATTCAGTCAACCTATTCTCACCTTTCAAATGAGCTGAGAACATCTCTGACTAATGTTAATTTTCAATTTGCATCTCAGATAGCAACACATTTTTGGTTTAATTTTACAAAAATTATGACAATATGATGGAAAATTAAGAATCACTGGGCTAGCTGTGTGTGTCTGTTTTAACAGTGCAATACAGAATGTACTGTTTGAATTGCCTTTCAGCTTCTTTATCAACATGTTTTTAGTTAATTCAAAGAGAGACATTGTAGTCTTGTTTGTTTGTTTGTTTGTTGCTGATGAGAACAGTAGGGAGAAATGCCTGTATGAGAATTCCTCTTTCAAATATCCTTTTTCTAGTACAAGATGCTAGAAATGGCCACTTAAGGAAGGATTATGTCCTCTTACCATTTCTGTGAAAACTGTGGGACCTTTTTGAGCTTATTCATGGAAATGTAAGGCCGGAAGAGATTTCAGCTATCTTGTAGTCCAGTTCAGACTGAAGCCAAATTTCAAAATAACAAAAGGAATTTCATTGAACCTACTGCAGAAATGTCTGTGTAAACCCCAAAATCCATACTGCTTGCATTTCCATCCTCCTTCACAAAAACCTGCCAATGTGTAAGAATATGCATAAGAATAAATGGTAGAAAACCATGCTGAGAAAGGACACCAGTAGATTGCTTTCTCCATCCGGCACATTTTGCACTAAAACAGGATTAATACTGCCCAAATCATCCTACCAAATACAGAGAGGCACCTCCTTTTTCATGCCAGTTTGACAGCGATTTATTTTATTCTCCCAGCTAGCAATCTTCCTCCAGGCGGTATAATTCCACTTGAGGGCCAGAGTGCGTGGGCTAATGCGTTCATCGCTTAGTTGCTCTTTCTTCAGCATGTTCAGGAGGTATAAGGATGAATCATTACAGAAGTTAAAGTGTAATCCAGGATCAGCAGATGTGTATAGGGGGCCTGTTACAACTACAGAAGCCCTGAAATGGATGCTTTTACTCAGATTGCTAGAGCAGTGCCTCAAACCTTGTTCCTCTGTCATCATGGACAGGCCAGTGACTTGAAAACCGTTACTGTGAAGATGCATTTTTTCGGAGATTGCTTTTACTGTCTTTTATTGCACTAGAGTGTTCCTGCTTTATCTACTCTAACTGTTCACTAAGGAAGAGACTCTCGGAGGAACTGCTTTGATGGTACCGTGGTTCTTTTACACTGTGTATATACACACGTACGCACATCCCCGAGGTTTTTAGCTTTGCTTTTAAAAGCAGGTAGTGGTAAGCAGATTAGTTTCCTGTTGTTCTGTGGAATCAGCCTCTGGGTGATGTTCATTTACTTATAGAATAAATGAGAAAAGTGGGAGTGTTTCAAGAAAGCTTCACTTGACCAGTCAGGCCTCTCTTTTGCCTGGCCATCCTGCTAGCTCCACATCTGGAGTTTCTCTCCTGTTTTGTGCAGAGGTTCCCGAGATAGTTGGTGACATTTTAGACAGAAGTGATATATCTTCAGCTGAAAGATTTTTTCCTTGCTACTTGGATTGGCAATTTTTGTCCTTCTCCATAGTCGTTAAAAAATTCTTCGTCCAGTCCAGCAATATCCCAGTTTCCAGTTTATTATACTAAAACTGCTTACAATTGGGAAAAAAAAAAAAAAAAAAAGATTGTTTCTGTTGTAAGAACCAAAAAATTTCATTCTAGTCCATCGTTAAAATCTGCATGTGTTTTCAGCCATTGCATTATAATTTAATCAGTGTAAAATAAAATTACTCTGGCTAGTGCATATACACATTTTTCATTCTTCAAATGAAATTATTATAGTTTCAGGTTTTGTTTTCATCTATTATGTTAAAAAAAAGCATTGCAGAAGTTGCAAAGTCAAATAATCAAAAAGTTAGAATTGAGCTAGTTTTGCTGTTTTACTTTGTTCTCCTTGCCACAAATATTACAATACAGTCCTTAAGTATATAGCCATGTGCTGTTATTTATCACAGATATTTTGGTTTATATAGTGTTTCAAGTGGGTGAGCATAAGATGCAAAACAAAAAAGTGTTTTTCATTCTCATTTTTGTTTAAAATATAATTTGTACCTGCCCTAAGTCCAGTGTGGTGTTTCAGACTCTTCTGTGATAAAACCTTTGATTTGTTCTGTATCCATCACTGAGTTTTTGGAAGCCCAATATGAAGTAACTGAGATGCCATTCTTGAGATTAACAGTGTTATATAATACTTCACTCAGTCAAAGCAGAGATCCCATTGATGTCAGTGGCCACTACGAGTGCTCAACTTCAGATGAAATCATTAGTCTAGTGTCTAGTCAGCACCCTCAAGTTAGGGATTCACGAGCCCGATTGCTGGCTTAAATGACTTGTCTGGGTTACGCTGGGGCTTTGCTGGAGAGAGAAGTCCTGTTCTGCAGAGCAACTTTTAGTTACTTAACTGAGGCACCCTTCCCTCCTCTGTATTCTCCCTCCGTTCACTAAATACCTTTTAACTGCTAAAACAAGTAATTTTCCTGTAAGAAACAGGTTGTCTTCACTGCACAGTTCTGGTTGATCTTCAGAACTGTTCCCTCCTGGTGTTGTAAGACACGGGTCCTGTGGGAGAAATGGGATTAGAGAATGAAATGTGACACGCAGAGGAGGGCTGTGTTAAGGCTACGCAGTCACCCACAACTGGATCTCCATGTGCTTTGCAAGTTCATGGAAAGAACGAGCTTTGTGCCCCAAGGATTGCAGGGGTGGTTGTGGTAGTGCCATGCAGAGATGCAAGAGGAGGATTTCTTTTTGCCCTTTACGTACCCACAGAGGCAATAGAACATTATAGGCTCATTTATTGGCAAAAAAAAAAAAAAAAAAAGCGTAAGCAATGCATAGCAGAAATGCCTTTTGCTTCTTGGATTCTGTGCTGGTGCCTTTTCTGTTTTGTTTTGTTTTGTTTTGTTTTTTTCTGCATCCATAAGGACAAGTCAAGTGGTTGAATCCCCATAAGGACTTTCACCACGCATGGAAGTCCATGAAGTTACAACAGAGTATCTTCTCCTTTAAGCAAAAGTGGTGGTTTTTCCATGAGACTAGCAACAAAGAAAGTGAGTAGATAGCCCTCTCTGTAATAAGTAGCTTTCAAATCCATGGAAGCTCAAGTTTACACTAGGTAGAAAGCCTGTTGCATGTCGATTACCATTTGGTACTCTGCAGAATAGGATAGTGGAACTCTTGATCTATAGAAAACAAACATGGAACTTCACAAGCCCATTTTTTAAGTCTCTTTCAGAGCAGGATCTACATTTTGAAACCTAGGTAGACACTCAGTGATGCAAATTGTCATAACTGAGCTACTGCAATTTATGGTTTGAGCATCTGACCTGAATTTGCTGACAAATAAATTCTGGGAAAGGTGAGTGAGTTGAAAGATTTAAAACGTGTTTTAATCACTTTTACTCAGTTTCATTTATTCTATTTTAAAATTTTAATGAACTTGTAAACTACTGCATTAAAGACTGCTAAATGTACTTCATCTTTAACAAACAGAGAGTACATTTATTCTTTAATTTAGACCACTGCAAGAATTCTGCCTTCTGTGTGAAAGGCTCATTAACCAATGGAGCTGCAAATTGGTGCCAAATATCTAGCTGTCCAGATGGTGTGCACTCTTAGTGTGCTCTCTTTACATTCTTCAAGTGCTTAGTATTCCTTTGTAGATTATTTCAGTGTTTTTTCAACTGTGAGCTGCCAAAACAACTGTTAAATAAATGTATGAAGGTGCTGTGTTTCCAGTTTACAGTGCAATTTTAATGTTCCCTATCGATACCAGATTTGACTGAGCTGAAAATCGAAGTCCCCAGTGTATTCTTAGGAGAGGTGCATGAGTTTCTGTGATGCCTCCCTACTATTTCTGAAGTCTGACCTACTAGGACTGCCTCAGGGCTTAAGGATTACATTGCTCTCCTGGTCTGATCATTTACTTCTTATCAGAGACCACCCATATGAGAGGGGGTTTCTGCAGCAAGGACACCTGTCCTACAACAGCATAAATAAAACTTAATGTGCTATAGCCTTTGTTTCTTTGCAAACCTCTCACAAATCCCTGGAGGAATGCATTTCCCTTCTGTGCACTGGAAACATTTTACTACTGAAAGATAGCTGTCTGTGGGACTTCACACTAGGGTTAAAAGTTAGAGGTGGAAAAATATGTTTCCTAGTTACTATCCCAGAAGAGAATAGCGTTCTCATTGCTCATCAAAATCACAGAGTATGCAGAAGAAGTAGCAGCCAGTGGATATTTTTAGGGAAGCAGAATATCTCATGTACAGAATAGACAACATAAACCCAAATGAAAGGAAAAAACAAATTCCAGAACAGAACTGCTAGTGTCTTGGAAACTTATCACTCTGATTACTGGGAACTGTAGTGATCACATCCTGAGTTAGTAATTCTTATTATGCAGATTGTTTAAATGCTCTGAAGCAGGGGTTTCCAAAGTGAAGCCTCAGAGCCCATGCAAACTGCAAAACATTTATGTCCCACAGAGGGATTTTTTAGTATTTTCCTATAGTGAGAATAAAGTACTGCACTGCAGATGAATTTCATTATGTATCCCCAACTTGAGGGTGTTTTTCCGTTAATAAAATACTAGGAACCACTGTTCAGCTGTCTTAGAGCACTTTGACTGTTTTTACAGACCTGTTTAGGAGGTGTATACTGGCTTCATCCACTGCGTTCAATCAGATTTTTTGCTATCTTAACTTCAGTAGATTGAAAAATGTACTGAATAAAGTACACAGAGAGAGAATATGTAAAGGATGCTGCCTGGTTGAAAAGCAAACCGTTCTAAATAGCATATTTCTGGTAAAACCAGATATAGAGACTTCCCCCTTTTGCT